GCGGTGAAAGGGCTGGCACACCTGCTGTAATGTTTTAGCTGTGGCTGCTCCTTGCCCTGTGAAGGTGGAAATTCATGGCTGTTGTACCTGCATATGAAGAGGTGGAAGTCCTATCTCAGAGATCATGTCAGCTGAGTTACTTTGAATTTAGACTGGATTTAGAAAGAGGGAAGAAGAACCACATTTAGCACAGCAAAAAAAAAAAGAGCTTCTTGCACTTTTTTTCATTTACAATTGTATAATTTCTGTCTTATATTTCCTTGACATGAGGCACTACCATGGTTCTGGATGCATGCTTGTGTGCAGAGCTACAAGACCCACTCTGCAAACCCCTGCAGTTCCCCATGCTGCTATGTATCCTGAACCTCACCACCATGGGGGCCTAATGACTTCTGACAAAGGCAGAATGAAAGTGTTCCATTTGGCAGACAAAACATGACCATTTTTACCTGGAATCCCAGTGTTTTGAGTGTGAAAGTTCATACTTCTGTGTAGAAGAGGGGAGCAGACCAAGGACATGTTCATCTATCACCAGTGACAGGCTTACGTATTTTCTCTCAGACAATATAACAGGCTTCACACTCTGTACAGAGTAGTAAAAGGCATTGCAAAATATCAAATACCCTTATCATCCACTTACTAGATCTGCCTAGAGTTGGTTTGGCCATTTATAGACCTGGAAGCCTTTGTCTGGGTACAGTTTGCAAACACCAGGCAGCTCAGCTTGTGACAAAACACATTGCTCTCTCTAGCAGGAGAGAGACAGGACTGGGAGACAAGGGGGACATTTTTGTATCATTCAGGCTGATGTGATAAGTCTTCATGAAACTGCCACGTTCTCGCTCTGGTTATAATCAAGGAGTTTTTGATATTCAGAAGAGTTAGCTCGTGAGCAAGGTAAATACACCACAGAGGACAAGGTCAGACACCCATGTGGCCCAAGCTGTCTCTCTGCAACCATTTGGCCATGCCTATGTCAATCTCTCCATGGTGATGTGCTGCAGTCAAGTCTGGTGAGGTCTCGGGAGAACCATGTTCTCCACACAACAGTTGTCTCAAGAGGTGGCAACATAAACACCAGCATCTCCCTGCATGGAGCTGCTGAGCACTTTCCAGTGTGGGACAGCTTTGTCTGAGGCTCGCACTTTTGCAGTGGACAGCATGGAGTCTTCATGGGCCTGTTGCTGAGTTTCTGTCTGGGATGTAGGCTGCCAGAGACTCACTTGGTCTAGTCCTATTCAGTTTTCCCCATTCCCAAATATGTGAGAATTGTTTACAGTTCTCGAATATCTGAGTGCCATTTGCATCTCAGTACTGACCCTCTTGTGGATGAGAAAGTTCAAACTTTTCAGAGTGAAAACTCTGAAACTTCAGAGCATAGTGCCTGGCCCTGGAGTAGTTGCTGTAGAAGAGGTGGTGACTGATAACTTACTCTGATGTGGGATTTGTAGGTCTCCTCCTTGTCCACAGAGGAAAGGTGAGACTCAGGGTAGGAGTCTTCATGGGAGAGCCACCATGGAGCAAGAGACAAGGTCCGTAGTTCACTCAAGAGGAGATACCCTGTGGATCTCACATTTTGTCCCCCATTTGCATGACAACAATGGGGTTTCAGCATGGAAATGGAGAGAGCAGAAGGCAGGAGAGGAGAGACTGTACTGGAAGGAGAGTGATAAAACTTCAGGATGGAGCTAAGGAATAAGGTGAGGTGAACCAGAAGAACCTGCTTCCTCACCTCAAACTGCCTTTGCCTTGTCTGAGGCTACCTAACTTCCAGGGAGCCCCTATCTTGCTAGAGATGCCTCTGCATGACCAACCCCAGGGTCAGGACATTGTTGCAGACTAATGCAACAGCCCTAGATGACTTGTGTGGCCACCACAGCTCCTGTCTGGGTCTTGCTGTGGGACATCTCAGTGCCTCCTCTTCCTCAGCTCTAATGAGGCTTTGCAGAGAGATTAATGAGTCCTGGGAGAGCTGCCTGGAGCTGAATATGTGGAGAGCATCACACAGAGAGTTTGGGCAATGGGAAGAAAGACAAGATGGATCCCTTGCTTCCTCACTAGCCCAGAAACATTGGCTGGATAGTCAGGAACCAGGATTCGGTGGAGGCTGTGCCTGTCCCTTCACCACCTCATTGCTGACATGGGGCATTGCCGCCATCTAGCGATGCGGGGGTTCAGCTGGGGCTCCCGCAGGCTGGTGCAGCCCAGCCTGAGGTCCCCTGGCCCCAGAGAGACTTTGCAGGAGGTGCCAGAGCCATCAGCTCTGTAAATGCAACTGGTTTCTGGTGGGTAAGTCCAGCGAGCAGCTGCTGAACATGGCACTGTCATAGTGGTGCACGTCCTAGCTGCTTCTCATGGGCGCTGTGCTCACGAGTGACCTCTGTGCAAGAGGTACCCAAGCCATTTAATCAAATCGGGTGGCTGCAAACACTGACACCTATCACAGCTTGGTAAGAGCTACCATCACGGTAGGCACAGAGCACTGATAAAGTGGTGTCAACAGCCCTGTGGCTCTTTCTGCCTGCTCAGAGGACCTGGATCTCCTGCATTTTTTTTTGCAGTGATCCTGCATATATCCCAGAAGGATTCAATGCTCAAATGGCCATCAATCTGCTTGTAAGGTCTTCTGTCCAAAAATGTAATAATTCTTAGAAGAATCAATGAAATTATGTCATGAAGCGAATGCACATGCTGATACAGGGGAGAGGGGCAAAGGGGTACAGAAGGAAGAGGTATGTCTTGAACCTTAAGCCATTCTGGTTCCTAAACCAGCATTATCGAGGACTTGGGAGATTATCTGGTATTGGTTTAACCGGAGCATGAGGGCACTCATGCCCAGTCAGATGCTTGTATCTGAACTTAGACCCACAGCCAGGGCTAAAGTCTGATCTGAAGGGGAACTTGCAACCCCAGCTAAAAACATTCCTGTTTTTTTTCTGAAAACAGAAGGGCTCTTCCCCAGGGTCTGCTGTGATTTAGCATTCAGCTGGTGTAACCAAGCCCCCCAAATGCTTCTGCACTGCTACCTTTTCATAGTTCCACTCCACATTGCCAACTGTGTGCTGGAGTGACTTGGATGACTGTGTTGGCTCCCTTTGCCAGTTTCTCTTTTCAGATACCAGCCGTAAATCAGATACAGGGTAGGGAAGCGCTGGTGGCTGCAAGGTGCAGGGGCATTCGGGGCAGCCTGTGGGGAGTGCAGGCATGCTCCAATACGGCCGCGGCTTTTCTGACGCCTGGTAAACAACGGGATTAATCACCAACCTGAGTGTGCTCAAGGGTCACTTACCTTCCAAAAATACCCCTGGCATGGAAAACATCCGGGATCGCAAAGGGCTTCTGCATGTGCCATTTCGCACTGATCGTGTGGGATTCGCGAGGGTGCTGGGGACCATCTGAGGTGAGTGGCCGAGGTCCCTGCAATGGGCACTGTGGGTGATTCAGAGAGCTTGTATTTACTCAGCCCAACTGGAGTTGAGCTGGGGGAGGTTTCGCTATCAGTTACGGCTCCTGTGAGTCCCAACTGTGCTTGAAATGCTAGGTTCTACCCAGTGAGTTTGCACTTTGAAGGGCTCAGGGCTGCTCAGAGCATCCATTTCCCATCACAGGAAAGCCCTTGGAGACCTTCAAGCCCAGGAGATCCCTCTACATGCTGGCACTGGGGGAAAAACCCTGTGCTTGAGCCCCTCCATGATGGCGCAGCCCTGGGGGGCGACACATGCCTGTCCCAAATCTCAGTAACCTCAAAACCTCAGCGCTTTGGCTGAAGGTCCCGTGTCCCTCTTCGCAGACCTGCTGCTTTCTCCTCCATGGGGACACATCAGCAAATGGTTGGGGTCGGAAGGGACCTGGGGACACCCCTCGGGCTCTGGCACAGCCTCCTGGAGATGCCGGGAGCAGTGCAGGAAAGTGGTTTCCCACCATCCGGGTGGTGCGGCCGGAGCGTTCCTGACAGGGACTCTTATACCTCTCAGCCAGTTGCAGCAGGGAAAGTTTTCAGCGAGCACAAGCGTCGGTCTGGCAGGGGCGACTGCCCCGTCTGTGGGTACCTGCTGCCTCCCATGGTCCCTCTGTCCCTCTCCGGGTGGGCATAGGGATTGCCATAGGGATTCTGGAGGAGCTGAGTGTTCCCGGACGGCCGTGGTGCCGGGGATGGCTCCAGCGCGGAGCAGCCGCAGCTGCGTCTGGCTCTGCCGCCGGCTCCGTCCCGACACGGCCTTCACTGTCCCGGCTTTTGGGGAGAGTCGTGGCAGGGACGAGCTTTGGGGGCTCCCAGCTGTTTCAGGAGGCAGATGCTTGGTCTGAACTGTTTCGCAGCACCACTCTGCACATTTCTGTAGGATCTTGTATGGTCCCAGGGATTTTTTAGCTTCTCTTTGCCGTAATGTAACCGAGCGAGACCTCAGAGCTCCTTCCTACATCAACCCCCCCGCCATGTTTGCAAGAAATGCCCACGAGCGGATAAACTGGGAAAAATAAGAGGATACCCATGTTTTGTTCACTGCTTCCCAGGCAGGATTTTCTGCATAGGTCTGGGAAAAACGTTCTGGCTCAGGCTGTGGGAAACGTCATTTAAAATAGATTAATTTTGAGGGCTTCTGGTTAGCTGTGGCGGCATTAGAGGTGCAGCTTTTAGCTTTGTTCTGTGATGGTGATGGCTGGGAAAATAATGTAGCCAAAAACTGAGTCTGTGAGGAATTCACGTGTGTCCAGCAGATTCAGGGTGAATCAACAAGAGGCAGCAGCACACGAGAGTTGTTAAGATGCAAAACTTTGTGGAAGAAATATTTAAAATTAAGCAGATTTGAGTATTTTGGATCTTTTAGCTCCATGGGTTCATTTTAATTCTGTTTTTTTTTTTTCCATTTTCTTTCGGTCCCCTGCAGCCTCCCAGTATGCACCATGCAATGCGATGCATATTGGTGTAGTGGGGACATGCCCAGGAGGCTTTCCCAGTTTTAAAATTCAGCGATTCGAGAACGACTGAATCCTGCACCCTCATGGAGTACGTCAGCACGCGGGGAGGCCCTGGCACCGTGGGCTTCGAAGAAGCCCTCTTCTCCGGCTACGCGCCCGACGGCGGCCTCTTCATGCCCAGCGCCGTGCCCCGGCTCGAGGCGCACACGCTGCGGAGCTGGAGCTCCTTCTCCTACCCACGGCTGGTCAAGGAGCTCTGCGCCCTCTTCGTTGCCGCCGAGCTCATCCCCAGGAGCGTGCTGGAGGGTAAACCTCTCCATTTGGCCCTGCTGCCTGTCTCCCTGCCCGCAGCCTCCTCCTGCTCGCTCTGCAGCTCACCCTGCACTTGCCCAGCTCCTGTCTCTGCCCTCTTACACCACTGTCAGCTTGCAGGGGCTTGTTGCTCTCTAGGAAATGTGGACCCCAGCTGCAAGCTGCAGTTCTGGGGGTGCAGTAGTGGTTCTGGCCTGGCAGTAGTGATTTAGGAGGTTACAATAGTGATTCTGGGGTTTGCAGTATGGATTCTGGGGCCTGCAGGGCTGATTCTGGGGTTTGCAGTAGTGAATTGGGGGGTTGCAACAGTGATTCTGGGATTACAATAGTGATTCAGGGGTTTCAATAGTGATTTGGGGGGTTGCAATAGTGATTCAAGGGTTGCAATAGTGATTCTGGGGTTGCAACAGCGATTCTGGGTTTGCGGTTTAGTTCTGGAGTTTGCAATAGTGGTTCTAGGGATTGCAATAGTGATTTAGGGATTGCAATTGGGATTCTGGGATTGCTGATGCTGCAGCTCCACTTATTGCCAGGACAAAAAAGCACAGCCAGGGGTGCTCGACACATCTGGACAGCAGAGGCTGCAGCATATGCGGGTTTCTCTGCTCTGTATGGCCATTTAGCTGCACAAAAGTGCATGAAAAGGGACATTTGCTGCATGGGACATCCTGCATGTAAAAATATCTTGCCCATTTGAGCCCTCCGTCTCTGGAGTGCTGCAGGGTCAAGCCCTGTGAGCAATGACTGTGTGTTGGTGTGGGAAATGGGGCTGATGTTACATGGGGTTTTAGCTGCTCGATCGTCTTTCTGTAGTCTGATTTTTAATCTTTTCAACATTTGACAGCTACTCCCTCCACCAGATGGCAGCTCTAACCTCCATCAGTGCCTTGGGATAAAATTCTTTCATTCTTCCCTTTTAACAAAGTTGATATAATTGTGTCAGCCTCCCCCTCAGGTTGCCCAGTGAAGAGCTGTTGCAGGAATAGGCTGATTTATCCCCAGATCAAACTCATAAATAACTAAGAACAATCTGTTAGATATCCACCCATCACCTCTCTAGCAGCAGAGTCTTGGGTTTTGCAGTGTGGCTCCTGGGGTGGGGGGCACGGACAATGGAAACCACAGTCAGAAATGTCTTTCTTGACCTATTCTATCCATCCCTCTACCCACTCTCCCTCCAGACCTGATTGACAGGGCCTTCAGCAGGTTCAGACACAAGGACGTGGTCCATCTGACCAGGCTGAAAGATGGGCTGAACGTTTTGGAGCTCTGGCATGGGGCCACTTACGCATTTAAGGACCTGTCTCTGTCCTGCACGGGGCAGTTTTTACAATATTTCCTGGAGAAAAAGCAAAAGCACCTTTCTATTCTGGTGGGTGAGTATCCCTAAAGGGGTGAGTAAAGCTTCTGGGGTCTGTCTAGGCTGGGAATGGTTTGGGGACAGTGCAGGGTCTGTCTGCTGCCAACCTGGTGCTGGTATGTCACCCAGTGTCCTCGGATGGACAAGCCTTGGGGCTGCAGAGATACATAAGCATATCTGGTATCGGGTATTGGGTATCTCTGCTTCATTGGGAGAGCTGTCGACCCGCAGATGGCAGGATGATGTGATGGTGGCATCATCTTCTAGGTGGCTGGTGGGACAACACCAAGCTGGATAACATTGGTGCTGGTCTAACCACAAACATCCCAGGGATCATCTCGGGACCCTCCCTTTTTTTTTAGAGAGGAGTGATGGGCGCTGACACAGAGATGTTTGTTTTTATTTGTTCTCCCTCGCTTTGAAATAGGGACGTCAGGGGACACAGGGAGCTCAGCAATTGAGAGTGTGAGAGGCCAGAAGAACATGGACATCTTTGTTCTGCTGCCCCATGGACTCTGCACCCAGACACAGGAGCTTCAGATGACCACTGTCATTGAAGAAAACGTCCACGTCTTTGATGGTTGGCGCTGCTATCTGCTTTAGGGGCATGTTGTGTTGCAAGCATGGCCTCAAGGTCTGGCTGTAGTGGCACAAGCTGCTCCTTTTGTGTCTGGGTTTAATGTTGCGGTTGGCTGGATGCCTGGTAAAATGCAGCCCAGCAGAATTTATTCTGGCCTTGATTTGGATTTTTTGAGACTAAAATATCTGCAAGTGGTAGGGACTGAACATATGTCAAAAGCAGAAACTATCCTGGCATCCATGCTGTGCTCCTCAGCCTCCAGCTTGCTCAGCCCTGGAGCCAGACCTGCAATCCAGATGACCACTCACTGCAGTGACATCTCAGCCTTGTTTCTAGACCCATTTCTGAACAGAAAGGATTTGTGCCTAATTCACACAGGTCAGCAAATCTGATCTGTCCTTTCTTCTTTTGACAGTTCATGGGAACAGCGATGAAATCGATGAGCCGATCAAGGAGTTATTTGCCGATACTGATTTTGCCAGAAAGCACAACCTGATGAGCTTGAATTCGGTCAACTGGTCGAGGATCATGGTGCAGATTGCTCACCACTTCTACGCTTACTTCCAGTGTGCACCATCCCTAGATACCAGCCCTCTGCCCATGGTAGAAATTGTTGTGCCAACTGGAGGAGGAGGAAACATCACAGGTGAAAGGGAAAAAATAAGATTACATAGGGTTAGATAGGGAAGAGAGAGAGTGCCCTGTGACCTATAGACTAAATATACTTTGCAAAAGTTAGGCATTGCTATATATTAAAATTAAAACACCCACTCGCCATTAGGATTTCTTCAGAACCACTTAAATTTTATTACTCATTTATGGTCATTACTCATTTAAGTGTCAGTGATTTGCAAGAGGCTGAAAATCTGAAACAATCCTTTGGTGGTGATGGTAGGTCTCCTGAGGATGGGCATGCTAAAAGTGAACAGAATGCGTTTCATCCTAAAGAGGGAGAAAATACTGCGGTCCTGATCTCTTAAGTGAGACCTTAGCAGGGCTGTGAACTCCTGCCTGGCACTACCCTGGTTTGCAGGTCAGCGCACCGTCAGGAGAACCGCGTGCTCCTGATCGTGTAGATCCATCCCTTTCAAAGGGAGTCCTTGATTGCCTTCTTCTCGAAATAGCTATAAAACTGTATTATGAAAGCCATAAATGATTTTATTCACACAAGTACATACCTTGTATTTCCAGGCTGCCCATCTGAGGCAGCATTACTAAGCTGCAGGAGTCCAAAAGCTTCACCCCTTGCCTAAATGTAGGTGACTGACTGCTTGGGTGACTGCCTTCAAACATGGAGAGGTCTAAGGGTTGGGTTCAGTAGCTGTCTTGGCAGTAGGAGCATTGTGGTCCAAGATTTTGAATTCCAGGTTCTATCAAAGTATTAAAAATACAATGCAAGAGCTGTGGTAGAGTATGTCATTTTGGGTTGCTCCTGAAATAGGTGCTCAATCAGATTGTGTAGTGACTTCTTTGCTAAATCTGCTTTGAGTGTTTCTTCCTTGGGCAGGCTTGTAATTTTTTGCTTGTTTTCTAGCTGGCTGCATTGCCCAGAAAATGGGCCTTCCGATCCGACTTGTTGCCGTGGTTAACAGCAATGACATCATTCACAGGGCTGTTCAGCATGGAGATTTCTCACTGTCAGGCACTGTAAAGGCTACATTAGCATCAGCCATGGATATCCAGGTATTTAATGAACTGGCCAGAACGTGAAGAGATTGAATATCATATATCTTTTTTTCTTACAATGTTTTCAGCCTGGTTTATGAGAGCATAGTTCTGCCCCTGAGGCTGTTGCTCATCAATGCATTCAGAGGTGTGATCATATTCAGTCTTTAAGCTGCAGCCTGCTAAATTAAGATAGATCAAGAACTTTCTTCCTAACTTTTCAGGGCTTGACTTTGTAATCATTATGGTCAATGGTTGGTTTCTGAGGGCTTCTTAAGTGTAAGCTTAGAAAGAGATGGAATTTTTCTCAAGGCTTCTGTGACACTTTGGCTCAGGGGTTCTGTCAGTGCTTCTCAAAGTCTCCATCAAGAGAAGAGACCAGGAGGAAGCCCCAAAGAAATGCCTCCTCTATGGCCATCTGCACTTTGCTCAGAGCAAAACATGCCCCGGCAGGCAGGCAAAGGCCTTAGAAATGAAAAGTCATGGAAGGACAGACAGCAAATGCCTGGAAGCAAACGCCTCCATTGCATACCTATCCTGTGATCCATGGACATTGGACGTGCTTCCAGAAAAATGACTGAGGTGTGAAATACTGGGTGTCATATCACTAAAGGCCCTAAGCTACTTTGATTTTCCAAATGCTGTTCAAACATGAATTCCTAGGGCTCCTTATGGACCTCAAGAGATGCCTGAGTTGCTCTGCTAGTATGTGTCCCTTCAGCAGTCCTGGTCTGATGAGGCCCTTTAGTTGTGCCAAGATTTGAGATGGAGAGTGAAGAAAGCTGGGTAAGGTGATATGCGGAGATCTCTGAAGAGCTGGATGGACATATCCCTCTTTATATCCTCCCTGTGGATACACAGAATGTCATGGCTCAGCTCAAGTGTGAAGTGTCCATGCAAATTCTTCAGTAGCTCAGGTTCACCTCTGAGTGGACCTCAGGGTGTTTCTAATCCAACCTCCTGCTCAAAGCACGATCATCTATTAGGTCAGGTCAGGTTGTTCAGTATTTGATCCAGTCAGGCCTTCAAAAGCTTTGAGGATGGAGACTGAGCAACCTCTTCAGGTTGTCTCTTTTGCATGCTAAATTAAAGCAGAGAAAGATTCCCATTTAGTCACTAGCAGTACAGGCAAAGCAGAAGGTCTTTTGAGTATGGATGAGCCTTTTAAGGAGGAATTGCAGTGCAGCACAACTCAGAGATGCTGTGTCTTCACAGCAAATGGAGACAAGCAGGGACTGTTCTTGGCCCTGAGCTGTGGCAGTGCTCATTCCCACACAGCTTCCTTGGGAACAGTCTCTCCAGCCTGAACTATCCTCCAGGATGGGCCCAGTCTCCTGGACAATCTCATCTGGCACAGATGGCATGGGATAAAAGCAGAGCAGACAGCTGACTGGCAAATAAATGGCAAGACCAGTGGTCACACCAGTTTCCTGTACCTGTTTGATTTACTGGTGCAAATGTAGCAATCCATGCAAGAAACCTTACGACTGGTATAAAAGTTGGGTGAACAAGAAGGTCTGGGTGTAAGAGCAGCAGAAGGATGGGCAGGAGAAGCGCAGGATAGGTGCTGGAGGCACCTAAGGTGCCAGGTCACCAACTTCCAGATGAGTTGGAGGGTAGATTCTCAGAACACCCAGATCGGCTGGACAGCCTAACTCAAGGGACAATCTAAAGCAAAGGGCTGACTACGCCCAGGCTAAAATAAAGATTACAGAATGGAAGCCTTAAGAGGTGATGGTGAGAAGATGAACAGGCCTGGAGCCATAAGACACCAGATAAGGACATGAAAGGCTGAGCAATTCCTGATGACTCACTGAGTTTGAACAGGATGGAGAGACAAAAGGTCCCTGTCACTGTCTGCTCTTAGATGCAGTAAAGAGCACATCCAAAAACAGCAATAGTTGCAATATAGGAACAACCAAGGAGGCACAATGAGGTTGGATAGCTGGTGTCCCTTGTCCTCTCTGTCTCTACAAACTGTCCTGGCCAGGGCACCTGGGCACATGTTTCTTGCTGCTTTTGAGTATGAGGGAATGAGACTGAGAGGTGGATTTTCCTTGAAATAAAACCGTTTCCCCTCCTTTAAGGTCTTGTGTTGAGTTTTGCTAAGGTGTCGCAACACTGATTGCTACATAGCATACAGACCAGTCAGGCCCTATATATGCCTTATATGTTCATAAGAATTACCAGTTAACCCTGCAGGGAGCTGAGTGTTTTATTAAGCCACACAGGAGTAAGATGACTCACAACAGCATTTGCAACACAAGGAAAACAGCAGGAAGTAAGTACACCGTGTGTTATTAGCTTGCTTTCCTCAAGGTAATTATACAGATATAGTCACACTGCCTATTTTCCAGTTGTCCCCTCATTAAGTTTTTCAACCTGGTGGTTGATCAGAGAGGTCAGAGGGCTGAGAGACATCATGTGCCTCCAAGGCTTGAGGGTACGTGTGTCCAGGTAGGAGACAAATCCCACCACAACCCCTGCTAAGCAAATAGCTGCAATAGGTGCTCAGCTCTAATTAGGCATCAGAGAAACCACACAGGTGCCCCCCATCCAGACAGAAATTCACAGTTCTACTGCTCATGTGCTGCCCTGTTATCCTTCCTAGGAGCCATACAACATGGAGAGGATCCTCTGGCTGCTTTCTGACGGTGACAGCAGCCTCATCAAAACTCTGATGGAGCAATTCAGTGTGTCCAAAAGCCTCAAGCTTCCTGAGAATTTGCACAGGAAGGTAAGTCCCTTCACACATACACATTTTGTTTCCAAAATCAAAAATTCAGCTTGCAGTAGATCACGTTGGAGAGCTTCCAACCTAAAGCGTGTGTTAGAAGAAAAGCCAGAGAAGAGGTTTTATATCCATGTGTGTGTGCAGGGAGATGTTATTTTTTAATTTTTACTATTTTTTTAAAGAAATCTCTTCTTACAAAACTAATTGTAATCGGGGGTTGGACTAGATGACCTCTAGAGGTTCTTTCCAACCTGAAGCGTTCTATGTTCTATGATTCTATGATTCTAATTTTAAAATCCAGCAGTTATTCAGGTAGGAGATGAAACTGCCCCATTCTTAGCACTATGAGGCAGGTAGTAGCTGCATTAATGGTGCATCATGCACCCTGCCTGGGGCTGCTCCTAAAGGGCCCTTTCCTCCCCTTGCTGCAGTGGTTGCACCTGTTTCCCTGCGCAGTGAGGAGATTGCTCTACACCTTCCAGCTGCCCTGTTTCTAACTCTCTTTTGCCACCTGTAAAACCTTGCTGGAAGCGATGCTGAGCATTGCACGTGTCCGGGCTCCACACCGCAGCGTGCAGCCCGCGGTTCACCCCGTGAGCGTCTCACCGTGTTTCCCCTCTGCTCTCCCCAGCTGGCGCAGACGCTGGACTCGTGCGCGGCCTCTGACGAGGACATCATGAGAGCGATGAGGCGCTGCTGGGAGGAGAACCGCTACCTGCTGTGCCCCCACTCTGCGGTAGCCGCTCACTACCACTACGCACAGCTGGGCTGCGGGAGCCGCAGGTGAGTGCCCACTCGCACGGAGCTCCGCGCGTCGGCGGGTGCAGCACCGGGCGCGCTTCGCTCCAACGGTGCCTCGCTTTTCCGCAGCACGCCTCGCTGTTGCTTGGCCCCGGCCTCCGCGGCCAAGTTTCAGGACGCTCTGCTCAGAGCTGGCCTCGTTCCCGATGTCCCTCCTGAAATCAGTGCCCTAACCACGCTGGAGACCAGGTCAACCCCTTTGAAGAAGGGAGAAGATTGGGCAAAAGTGCTCCGGGAGCGAATAGAAGAGTTGGCGCAGCAGAGGAAGCCCTAGGTGGGGTCATGCTGCCATGTGGGCGTTTGCACAGAAGTGACCTGGATTTGTGCTATAAAGGCAAATGCATCCTAAGGCTCGTTGTCCATTTTGAGGAGCGATGTTTCAAAGCTTTGTAACTTGGTTGTCTTTTTCCTGCAACTTCAATAAAGGCTGCTGAAGCATTCAAGAAACATGCTTGTCCTATGGTTGCTAGCCCATGGAAAACTCCTTTAAAATGATCCATGACCACTAGTTTCCTCATTGTATTCCATATGTCTTGCTTCCTAGGAAGACCTACCTAAAAGCTTATTCTGGTAGTACAGTACAGAGCTGTAATGACTTTCCCCGGAGCAGCCACTTGGTGGAAGTAACGGATATGAATTACAGTAATAAAAAGTAGAGCCGATCTGCAGTTATTTGGTCATATTTCCACGGCACTTTTATAGGTGATCACTATTGGGTGTTCTTCCTTGTCCAGCAAGTGCCAACTGTTTTTCTAGTGGATGGTAAAATTTGGAGCAGAGCGGCCTGAATGGTTTGGCTGAGTGGAGAGCCCATCAGCTAGGTGCAAGCAACTTACTTCCAAATGTGGCTTCGCCAAAACAGCAAAACAACCACCAAAACGTTAGGACAGAGGGTAGCAAGGGACTTGCACTGGGAGGATTTTGTGGGCATCTCTGGAAGTTTGGGCTGAGCATGGGGATTTGTGGAAGAGTGGTAAGGACTGGGAGCAATGCATCCAAAAGGGTCTTTTTGGCAACTTCTGGTGTTGGGATGGGTGAGAAATTGGAATCGATGAGGAAGAAATGGAGATCACCGAGCTGGTTTGCAAATTCTTGTGAGTGATGAGACAGTCTTGGGTTATTTCATGTTTCCATGCCCAGCAGAGTCTGCACTGGGAAATGTGTCTCTGTGCCATATGTACTAATACATCTGATTGATAGAGCTCTTTTAAAATATACATTTTTTCCATGCTACGTTGACTCCAGTTGCTCAGGCTAGGGTGGATTGCTGCTGACCAAAACTCAGCATGGCTTAAATTCACAATAAAACCAAACAGAATGGGCAAAGGGAAAAGTGATGGTGCAAGTTATCCCCTGAGGGGACAGTTCACTAGCAGGGACGTAGCTGTAACGTCCACGCTGGGGAAAGGTGTTATTGGGTAGCAGATACAGGACCCACTTGAAGCCAGGCTCTTCATGGGGCCAGCCCCGTGACTGTAGCTGCTTCCCGGCCTCATACCTTACTCCTGCAGGCCAAAGCCTGCAGCAGACACTTTGTGGGCAGCTTCCACGGAAACAAATAGGAAATGGGAAATTCCCCTTATCTGAAACCGAAACTTCAGGGCTCTCAATACCATGTTCCCCTCATATACATATAAATATATAAATACCTTGTAGGGAGCTGCCTCCACAAGTTGTGCAGCTGGCAGAAGTATCTTGTACCTAAAAAGGAAAAAAAAAAAAAAAAAAAAAAAAGAATAATTGCACTAGGGGGGGGAAAATCCCCTTTTGCCATAAAAAAAAAAAAAATCCCCTTTGACATCAAAGGAAGTCCTGTAATGGGAGCGTTAATTTGAAGGGTTAGTGGCATTTAGCAGGGTAAAAGTAAACTCTGTGGGGTGAATCAACATGGGATTTTTTGAGCTGTGCAGGAAGAAGAGGGAAACTCTGCCTGGTTAGAGTTTTCTTCCGGGCACCTTGGCAGACTTGGTCGGCTCTTGGCTTAAGCAGCCTCATCCCAGGGAATAACTTTATTCCTCCCCTAGGAAAGGGTTTTGAGCTGGGGACTATGTGTCCAGCCACTGTCAACGCTGCCAGTGGGCAGCCCCCCAGGCACACCAGCCGCATCCTCCTCCCGCTTGCGCACACATGACACACACTGGGCTCTGCTGTCTGTCCAAATCTTCTGGTTCTCCCAAAGGATGGTTGCCCGGGTGCAACTGAACCCTTGAACCATCGCCCAAGACACCGTGTTGGAGGGAGAGGCCGGAAGGGCCCTGTGGATAGTAGGGATGGAAGGATGCGAAGTGAGGAGAAGCTGCCCAGATGCCTTGGAGGGTTGCAGAGAGGTTTCGCTCCTGCAGAGGGCAATGCTCAGTCACCCTTGGCTTGTCCTGGCAGGGCGCTGCCCGCGTCTGCTCCTGACCTGACCATAGTCCATCCCCTGGCATCTCTGGAGGGGCAAATTGCTGGCCTGCTCTGGCTCCCATCCCCGGAGGATCTTGCTCCCACCTCAGCAGCCCCCATCAGAGAAACCTCAGCTTCAGTTCAATGGGGCAAAACGCCTGGAGAAGACTCATGCAGAAAGCCCATGCGCCCAAGGTTGCCTCCTAGGTCAATACAGTACAGGGCTCTGGTGGCTGGGCGCGCTCCCAGGACTAACAAAATATCACTTCTGGGCTGTTCACAAGCTCAGGCTGGACTTGTCCAGTAATTGTGTCCAGGGAGAAAAGAAGTGGGAGGGAAGCGATGCTCACTCGCAGCTGGAGGGCAAAGCTACGTCAGCGCTTCTTCATCCTGTACCTCAATGGCTCCTGTTGTTTTTCCCCAGCAAGGGGAAAAAAGAATTCATCCCAAAGGGATTTGAGCCATGTGCCCCAGGCAACAGCAATGCCCTGAAGCTATAGCTGTCCCCTACAGGGACCCTGCGTCTCACCACTGTTGCCTGGCCAAGGGAGAGGCAGGACACGCTGACTGCATGGCCGCTGGCCCGTCCCTTCTTCTTGCTTTCTTGCCAGCTTGGGGAGAGCAAGAACTCGTGGGAAAACACACCGCATGGACAGGGGAACGGGCTCACCTGGGGCTCAGCACAGGTTCCTACCAGTAAGGTGACTCAGACCAGTGGGATTGAAAGGACTCGGCATCCCGGGGCCAATGGTTGTCTTGGCACTGGGATGGGGACACTCATCCCAAAGAACGCTGGGATCCATCCCACGAAGCCTGGGTCAAACGGGTCACCTGGCGGGACCCTTGGGGACCCCTCATGGTGGCCCTGACTCTGGCATTGCCTCTGGAGGCCGGAAAGGAGGAGTCGGCAGCGATTTATAAGCCAATTCCTTAAAAATAGTGTTCTGGAGGTTTGGGAGTTGAATTATTATTTATAATTCCCTGGGGGTGCTGTGTAATTTATGGACAGGTATGAAGACAAGTAGGCGCTCAGACGTAGGGATGAGCCCAGTGTGAATGCCGAAATAGATAGATGGATAGAAGAAGATAAGCTTCTTGGCCAGGAGAGTGGGAGATGGAAGGGCCTGCTCCTATAGATCTTTACTGTCCCAGGATGATACCTACTATCCTGGTCCTCCCACTCCGTAAAAAGTCATTTCCAATCTGGTGCAAACCATTTGTTTACTCTTTTTTTTTTTAATTAATTTATCCCAAGTGTAAAAAAAAAAAAAAAAAAAAAAAAAGGAGTTGCTTTGTTGTTGCAATTTGCTGCTAGGCATTCCTATGTGTGCTAATGATAAGTATTAATTAAATAGCTTGCTGTTGTCTTTTAAATGCAGTTCTTTCAGGCTGTAATTAAGCACAGACACCCAGCCCTTTCTGTCTGCATAGAGAGAGGGAGGCCTCTGGAGCCTGGCACTGCTTCCCTTTC